TTATTTTGATGAAACCTCTTTTTGACTATTGAACTTAGCCTTCTTGAAATCGTCAAATAACGGTGCGAAAATGAGGCGCAAAACGAAGAATATATTTATATCTATGTGCATTGCAAATTTTATTTCGTTTACCTTTTGCAATCTCTTTGTGCTCTGTGATGTTCTGGATATGTGTGGCGTGTAATGAACTGGGAGTCTTTGTTCCTGTCACTGGCTCGATGAACCAACTCCAATATTTGTCGGTTCTAAATAATAATGCCTTTACTTCTGGAGAAAGGCTTATTGAACAATCCTTAATCCTGCAACGGGATAACGTCCCGTGCCACAAAGCCAAGATAATTACAACATTTTTAAAGGATGTTAGAGTAACCACTTTGGACTGGCCACCTTTAAGTCCATATTTAAATATAATTGAAAACGTCTAGTCTCTTATGACACGCAAAAAAACAGTATCTCTGAATAAAACCAGAGAGAAGACAATTTCTGAGATCGATTCCCTTTGGGAAAAGATATCTCCAGAGATAACCCAAAATTTATTCGATTCAGTAACGCGATATCTTTAAGAAGTTATTGAAACCAAACGAAATTATATATTTTGCTACAACCCTTTTTTTTGGGGCGCCGAATTTAGCTTCCTTTTTTGTTTAAGTTAAGCTTAGTTTAAGCTTTGTTATTCATAATTAAAGATACTTGTCAAAATACTTATACATACAAATTCCTTTAGTTCTTTTTTTTTCAAGTTCATATGCCAAAATGTAGATTTTATTATTTTTAAGTTTGTATTGGCACTAAGTAAAACAAAAAAATCATTGAGCTATATTAATCCATTGTAAAGTTACATGCAAAATTGCACAATTTTTTTTCCGTCGCAATAATATCATATCAGCATTCATTTATTTGTTTGTGTATTTTGCAATATCTTTATCTATTTATTTGTAATTTTTGTTAAAACAACCAAGAAATCGTCCACCTGCATAATTTGCTAATTGACTAACACCTAAATATGCTCCATCATCTTGTCGTACGAATTTGTTTGCCACTTACGGATATTACAGGGAGTTCTTCGTCCTGCGCAAAACTAGTCACAAGTTGAGTAGGGGAACGTAGACGCTGGTTGCTCACGAAGCGAGTCCCTGTAAATGTGTCATTAAAAAATTAAAGGCACAGTCAAGACAAAGATGCGGACAACATTGTTGATGGCGTAGGTAAATGTCGAAAAATCAAGAGTCAAGGAAGGAGAATGTCCTCCGAAGACGTCGAAAGCCAGATGTCTCATTAATGTCCCTGTCCAGCAGCCGACGGGGAATTGAAAGTAGAGAGGATAATTCTGGGTGAAAAAGCCTCCGGAGGAACGGGGCCAATGCAACAGGGATATCGCCTGTCCTTCGGTTCCGGAAAATGCCGTCAGAAGGAAGTGGTTCCTGTCACCAAGGCTGCTGTCTTTTCTACCAATAAATTGTAAGTTTTATTATTTTTTTTGAAAGATTAAATAGTTTTTCACCAGTTATATACTTTTTTAACTAACTTATGAATGCCTACTTAATTTTAATAAAGAAACTGCCTAAAGGCAATCCGATTATTTTGATTAAGTACACAAGTTCTGAAACGCTAAATGTAATATAATGATATGATTTCCATTCTCGTTTTGTTATCATGCATATTACGTACACGCACACATTACGAACAACACATTATATCAGCCATTTACGAGAATTCGCGTCCTCAAAAACTCCTGTATAATCGAGATAAAGAGTCAGACTCTTGCGGTCCATAAATGAGTGGCGACCAAAATCAAATTACATGCCACTGTCACTCAGTCATGGACTCCATTCTCCATAAAGACCCGCGCATCGCCCACCGCTCCGCAGACTGACGTTGATTGCTTTTAGTCGATGAGCGATTGCGGTGGTGGGTGAGCGGACTGTCAGCCTTTATGATTTTAAAATATTTCATTAATTCAATTAATTATAGATTTTTGTGGGCACGTGTTTCATGCAAAACTGCAAAAAAGTCATCGATGGGTTGATAAAAACTGGTTGTATAACGTTTTAAGACAAATAATATAAATCATTTCTAAATGCTTTAACAGCAAGATAATGTAAAGTAAGAAGAATTTCAGAACTATTTCTTAAAATTTTAGAGGCTACACGACTTTTAATTAAAGCCTTATCGCACATGTAAGAATGAAAACATTTTGTTCTACAGCTTTTCAAAGTAACGCAACGCAAGAAAGGAACTAAATTTTAAAGGAACTAAAAGGAACAGAATTTTAGATCACGTATAACCTAAAAAATTTAAAATGAACTAAGAATTCCCTTTAAAGTCATGAAGTGCATTACTTTTTTTGTACTTTTTACTCTACTTTTAGGTCATTGTTGGCCTTAAAATTATTGCATTCTGCCTAAAAATATTTGACAGCTAAAAACCTTTTAAACTAAATATGTCTGTTAGATATTGGTGTTGAACCTAACCAAATAATATTTGTATTGCTTATAGTTATTTAAACTATTTATTTATTGTACACTGTAGCCAAAAGTTCAAAACTTAAGGTAAGTTTGCTAATTATTTATCATTCTTTGGTTATAACTTTTAGCGAGTTTTAGCGTTATGGGCGACATGGCAAATCCCAACATTCTAGCTTTTATATTTTCCGAGATCTCAGCGTTCATACGGACAGACGGACGGACGGACAAGGATATATATTCTTCCGACGAATCTAGTATACCCTTTTACTCTACGAATAACGGGTATAAAAAGCATATAATAATTTTGGATTCCGAGTGTAATAAAAGTCCAGATTGCTCAATTGTGAGGGATAAAAATTCTTTCCAATTCTTTCGATTGGTGTATCACTCGTTATGATCGGACCTTCACTGCAGATATATATAGTACGCACACTGTTCTGGTGCGGTTCGTCACTACGTGGACTGCCGTCTACAGTGATTCATATATTCTGAAATACATTTATATTCGCAAGAATCATTACTTTTTACCAAAAAGTGGCAAATCAAATTATGGTGGAAAACGTTTTTTGAAGTACAAAAGCAGAAATCACAGACACAATAAAATGGAAATCTTCATTGTAAACACTAAAATAATTATGAATTATACAGATAGCAATTGATTTCAATATTATCTACATGTCCAATGGTCACTATCTTTTAGCAATGAGGGACTCTTTTAAAACCCACACTACAGCCGTGACAAAGACTGATTTTCTATTGATAGCGTTAAAGAGTTGTTTAAGAATGGTGAATGTGTTTTAAATTAAATTAAGTATCAACTTTGCTGCCCCCATCAGCTCGCTTTGTAAACAACAATTGTTGATCCCCAGGAGTGGTATTATTCGAGCTGAAACTTACAGTGACATAGGTATTAAAATTGCAATGACAATATCCAAATTCAACTCTGCCGGTATGACCGTCAAACTGATTTTAGTGGTCGCTGGATTGGTTGATGATTGCATTGATAGTTTCTTCGTTTACTTTGGAAAAATGTTATCTAAACTTTATTCATTTTTTGATAGTTTGGATATTTGCTTCGAAATGTTTTCAGTGCTTTCTTCCAAATATCCTTCAGCTTGTCAGCACCCATTGGTATTCATCCAAAAATATTTTTTTTAAATATCAACTGAATATAATCAAACGTCGACACGTCGATACCGCTGACAATAAATATAATCAAAGATTTAATTTTAATATCAATCTTATTAAAAAATTAATTTAAAACAACCTAAAAATTGTGCTCCTGCAAATGTTAATTTAATATTCAAACAAATATGTATGACTCATAAATATTACAGAAAATAATTACTGATTTTTAAGAATCTAATAAAGTTGTACTTAAATAAAGCATTTTTAATCTTAAAACGAGAACACTTCATCTTTGTTTAAACTTACCATACTCTTGAATAACGAATGTTTATTCCTTATTGGAATGATGTCTTGAATTAAGAACAATTTTTCTTAAATGAAGACCAATATCTCTTGACTTTACATTTTTTGGTCTCAAGTAATTGTTCCTAATCTAAGAACATTTTGTCTTCCTATCGACTCCTCGATAAATCGAATTGTAATCTCTTCAAATTGAATGTTGTTATTTTTTTTAAGATTTGTGGAGGAAGAAATCCATTCCCAGGGATAATAAAATGAATTTTAAAAGTAAGGCCAAAGAGTGTTAAAAAAGTGAAGAAAATTTTCGAAGCTTCCGAGTTTCTCACTTCCCTCAAGCGTCGGCTAGATAAAGTTTTAAATGCCGCTGCAGACCAAAAGAGAACGCTAAGGCGGAGTGAAAGGGGCGGCAGCTGAAAACTTAAAACTAACATAAAAAGCCAAAATCTTGCAGCACTTGAAGACGCCAAGCCAGATAAAGTTTACGCTCGATTTTTCAGGGGTGTTCTAAGGGGTTTCATGGCGCTCGGGAAGGGGAACAGCGGAGTAAGCATATTTCCAGCACTTGATTCACATTGATTTCTGAACTGGGGTCTGGGAATACGGTCGCATCAGGAATGGGCGGAGGACTCTCAAAACTGTCTCAGGGCGCGAACGCGTCGAAAGTTGTAATTAAAACCTTGAAGTCAAAGTCGCGACAGAGCCAACAAGTCAGGCCAAGCCACCCACAGATTCCACCCAACTTGGCTCAGATTTTAAGGTAGGTCAACTATTGAAATTTCATTGTTTGTAGATGAAACATAGGAAAACTTAAAAAACACGAAAAACATTTTAATAATTTAAGCGTCGACGCATTCTAATCATAAATCTAATTTTTAAATGCATCATCCCTGCACAATGCATGATTTTATAAATCAATTTAGTCATTGTACCGTTTTACATAGCCGAAACATAATTAAGAACGCTACTATTCTCATTCAAAATTTTAAGAAGTAAATAATATCTACTCATTTATAGGTAGGGTATCTCAAGAGGCGTCCCCTAGAAATGCAAGTCGCCACCGGGAAACCAATTGAGGTACGAAAATGGCAAACTTTGTCTATGGCGGAAATGTGGGGAACCAGCCTTTGTTCCCATCATCGTGAGAAGCAGAATCAGGAGGAGCAGGACAATGTGGAGCTGGAGTCAGTCGCCTGGCCTGCGGAAATATAGATTCTCGTCTGGCACTCTACCAGTACACGTAACACGTATACCCTTCACCGCACCGCCATTACGCCATCGGCCTCAAGAGGCCAAAGTTTGCATTTTTCGGCAGACACCGACTTCTTTGCAGTTTTTCATTTGGAGTGTGTGTCATGCTAATTATAAATCGAAACTTCTGGCGACACTTTGTCAACTTCAAGAAGTCTTCCGTCGGAGCATCCCATCTCCTCCGGATTGTCTTCCACTTTTTGGCACTTTTCCGACACTTTTCCGAGATTTCCTCTCCGGCCACGCTGTAAGTGAATTAAAATCAATTAAATTAATGCACAACGGAACTCTTGACTAAATTCCCCACTTTCCAAACGCTTAAGTGTGAATCAAGGGATTCTTAGAAATAAAGCAATAGTTAAGTTAAAAGCAATTCACGTTAAAATTGTGTTACAGATTTAAGTTTAGTTCTTGATGCATATGTATTTATATACTTAAATAGGGATTGTAGACTAAGGTGACGAGTAAGGATCCTTACACTCTTCAAATCTCACAAGTCAAAAATTCCAAATAGTTGTAGTCTGTTTCTCTGACAATGTTTTTAAAAAAATATTATTAAGAATTCGCATAATTTGATCGTAACATAATTTTGACTAATAGGGTGAGAAAAAATTTAAAAACCTATTTAATTTATAAGTGCTTCAGCATTGCCAGAGCAAAGAATTCTGGAAAACGTCAGATAAATATAAAAAGTATAAATAAGATCTTCAGCAAAAGTTTTTGGTACTTTGTGTTTTCATACCCGTTACTCGTATGTAACAGGTAGGAGGAAGCGTTACCGACCCCATAAAGTATATATATTCTTGATCAGGACACTAGCCTAGTCGATCTAGCCATATCCGTCTGTCCGTATGAACGCTGTGATCTCGGAAACTAGTAGAGCTGCAATGCTGTATGCCTAATAGGCATGCAGATTCTAGAGATTCCTGCGCAGTGCAAGTTTGTTTCGTCAGTGTGCCACGCCCACTCTAACGCCCACAAACCGCCCAAAACTGTGACTCCTACATTTTTAATGCTAGAATAAAAATTTTAACTAAAATGTGTTGTTCTCATCCATACCTATCGATTGACCAAGAAGAAATTGCCACGCCTACTTTAACGACAACAAACCGCCCACAATTTTCAAAGAATCGTAAATATAAACACAAATATCTCGAAGACTACCAAAGATATATAATTGGATAGAGAATGACAAGCCGCCCAATCCTGTGGCGCCCACAATTTTCATGCTAGAAAAAATATTTTATCTGAAATGTATTAGTCTCGTCAATACCTATCGATTGACCCAAAAAAGATTGTCGCGCCCACTCTAAAGCCCATATTGCAGAAATCTGTCTGCCGCCATATATTGAGATCGCGGGAAAGTGGCGCATTAAAATATCGCTTGACTCCTATTAAATGATAATTAACAAAAGTAATGCAACCTTAATCTGATAAAAAACAAGACAGAAAGCTAGCTGTGGCAAGCCGAAGTTCCTACACCCTTGCAGCTCGTTCCCGTGGGAGCTAGGTATGTTTAGGGCTTTCCGAACTAAAAACTAGTAACAGAAACATTAAGATATTGTTCCATTTTAATTTAATACCGTATTTGTTTACCAAAAACGAAATGTATCGGTCTATGTAATATTTTGACATTCATTATCCGATCGCTCCTATGGCAGCTGTATGACAAAGCCGTCCGATCTTATTAAACTGTATTCGAAATTCTAAGGCCTTTAGCTGAGTTATTCTTATATTTCTCTGAAACCTTTCAAGAAACCGTTTTTATAAGACACTTATTTTTTAATTTTAATATATGCGCCTGTTTGTTACATATAATTTACAAGAACGGCCTTATAAATAATAAAATAATCAATTTCTGCGGTAATTAGACTCCAGAAATGTCCGTTCCCTTCCCTTGATGGTCGATTTCAATGAAAGTCCGCCGTATCAGCAAACAAATCAACGAAGGCAGCGGAAATTTTACGCACAGGGGCGACCAAAAAGGCATTAAACTTGGTTTTGTGGATTGTTTCGGGGAGTTGTTTATCCGACTAAGGGTGCCACATCAATTTTGTGTAAACAAAAACAAAAGCGTTAAGAAATCTATTATGACATTTGTGCGCTGACAAGTTGACGGAAAGTCATTAATGATTAAGGTCGCCTCCACCTTTTCTTGTCCACAAGTCCCAGTCGGTAATTATTGTATTACCAATTTAGGTGCTGCCCAATCCACCTAATTTTCCCATTTTCTGGGCATGGCGACAAAGTCATAAAAATGTCAACATGAACGTCAAATGACCGGCTTCGGAAATAGAAATATAAAAGTGAAAACTGTGGAACGACACCACAGCACCGAGAAAAAATAAATGATTCGGTTTAAGGTTTAGTCCAGCGGTTGGCAGCCTCCAATTAGGAGGACATAGGAAATAGCTATACAGGTTCTCTGCCGTGCAAATTACTCACTGAAAGAAAAAACCATATGTTTTGTGTGCCGACTAACGATTTATGTTAGTTTATATGTATTAGTTTTAAGTGAATATTATTTAAGCCTAATTTTCAATGTCGGAAAAATAAAATTCCCAGATTTAGGGAAATATGGACTGCACTGCCTAAAAATTTAGTTTTAAGGCCATAGTGGACTTAAAAATAGTAAAAATGGCCTTAGTTAAATTTAAGGAATCAATAGTGGAAATATAGTACATTACCTAATACATAGCACGTACCCCTAACATTTTCTATAAATAAAATATTTTAAAACACATTTTTTTTCTGAAACGAACCATTTATAATATGTTTGTGTCTATGTCAAGAGCCAAATAATATTATCCTTAAGGAATATTTGGAAAGGCAATAGGCACTTAAATTTTAAGGAGGATGTCAGCTAAACCTTTGAAAGAAACGAACCTGCTTAAAAAGAGTGCTCGAAATACACTGTTTTGTATTCAACACACAAATACGAATATAATAATAAAACTCAACAATTATACCCGTTACTCTTAGAACATTCGGAAAGAATGTAACAGTAGAAGGAAGCGTCTCCGACCCCATAGAGTAAATAAACTCCTGCTCAGGATCACTAGCCGAGTCGATCTAGCCATGCCCGACAGACTGACAGCTGTCTGCGCTAAAATCGGGGCCATCGACTACAGTGTTTATACCCGTTACTCGTAGAGTAAAAGGGTATACTAGATTCGTCGGAAAGTATGTAACAGGCAGAAGGAAGCGTTTCCGACCCCATAAAGTATATATATTCTTGATCAGGATCACTAGCCGAGTCGATCTAGCCATGTCCGTCTGTCCGTCTGTCCGTCTGTCCGTCTGTCTGTCCGGATGAACGCTGAGATCTCGGAAACTATGAGAGCTAGGCTATTGAGATTTGGCGTACAGATTCCTGAGCTTCTTACGCAGCGCAAGTTTGTTTCAGTAGACTGCCACGCCCACTCTAACGCCCACAAACCGCCCAAAACTGTAACTCCTACAGTTTTGACGCTAGATATAAAATTTTAACTGAAATGTATTGTTCTCATCAATACCTATCGATTGACCTAAAAAAAAGTTTGCCACGCCCACTTAAACGCCCACAACCCGCGAAAACCTGTGACGCCCACAATTTGCATGCTAGATAAAAAATTTTAACTGAAATGTATTGGTGTCGTCAATACCTATCGATTGATCCAAAAATAAATTTTCCACGCCCACTCTAATGCCCTTAACGCTTAAATCTGTCTACCGCCGGTAGGTGTCGCATTTTAATCTCGCTTTGCTGCTTGCATATCTCCATTTCCCTTTGAGTAACGGGTATCTGATAGTCGAGGTACTCGACTATAGCGTTCTTCCTTGTTTCTATTGTTATACTCGTTACTTGTAGAGAGAAAAGGTTTACAAGACCCTTAACGATGAGCTGGTGGTGATCGAGGGCATGAAGTTCGATCGTGGCTACATTTCGCCGTACTTTATCAACTCCTCGAAGGACGCCAAGGTGGAGTTCCAGGATGCCCTGCTCCTGCTCGGTCCAAAGCATCATTCCTGCTCAGGAGTTTGCCAATGCGCAGCGCAAGCCTTTGGTGATCATTGCCAGGGACATCGATGGCGAGGCTCTGAGCACCCTGGTGGTGAACCGCCTGAAGATCGGCCTGCAGGTGGCTGCCGTCATGGCTTCCGGCTTCGGTGACAACCGGAAGAGCACCCTTACCGACATGGCCATCGCCTCCGGCGGCATTGTCTTCGGCGATGATGTTGATCTCGTCAAGCTGGAGGACGTAAAGTTCAGCGACTTGGAAGAGGTGGGTGAGTTTGTGATCACCAAAGACGGCACCCTGCTTCTGAAGGGCAAGGGCAAGAAGGAGGATGTGCTGCTTCGCGCCAACCATATCAAGGAGCATATTGAAGACACCACCTTCGAGTACGAGAAGAAGAAGCTGCAGGAGCACCTGGCCCGCTTGACCTCGGGCGTTGCCCTGCTGCGGGTCGACGGCTCCAGCGAGGTTGAGGTCAACCAGAAGGACCGCGTCCACGATGCCCGGAACGCCACCCGTGTGGCGGTCGAAGGGGGAATCGTTCCCGAAGGCGGCACCGCTCTTCTGAGCTGCATCAGATCCTTGGCGTTGAGATTGTCCGTCGTGAACTGCGCATGCCCTGCATGACGATTGCCAAGAACGCCGGCGTCGATGGCGCTATGGTCGGGGTCAAGGTGGAGACCCAGACCGGTGACTACGGCTACGATGCGCTGAAGGGCGAGTACGGCAACTTGATCGAGAAGAGCATCCATCCAGATTCACACCTCTTTTGACTCCCATATACACACATACACACATTCCAATCCTTGATGGAACCTTGTTTTGCTTCACATTTACCCTTTGGCAAAAGGAGAAACATCATTAACAACCATGGACTGGATGTGAGATCGACGAGACGCCACGTCGTCGTTGCTGAAATTGTATTCTACGTTTTTAAACTATTCCTTAACTGTACTTTTTTACATGTTATATATGTAAAGACACCGCCAGTTGTAAAATATAAAATAAAAACTAGATTCGTCGGAAACGTTTTCGACCTTCTAAAGTATATATACTTATATACTAAGCTGAGTAACGGGTATTTGATAGTTGATGGCATCGACTATAGCGTTTTTTCTTGATATAATATAAATCAGCCAGTGACGTTTTTTTTTTATATTGGCAGAAATTAGATTAGAAAACATCGAAGTTCCAGCCGGTTCCTATGTACCATTCTTCAACTTATTAATAAACTATGCCTTATGAAGAATTCTGTTCTTTTTACTATTATGTCATGGAACTGAGGTTTCTTTTAATGCTAGGTCGTTCTCTTCAAAAGAACTCCTGCTTTAATATTTCTAACGCTCCCCTGAATTTATTTATTGTACACTGTTGCCAAAAGTTTAAAACTTAAGGTACAGGGGGGAATCGGCCATAATTGCTGAGACTTTCGAACGCTCCCCTAAATAATTCATGGCTTTCAATACTGTTCTGTTGGGTCATCTAAAATTGAGAATAACAAAAAACAGTTTCTAATTTTTACGGGGCGACTTCCAAACCTTGCATTAAGACTTGTGTTTCTTAAACCTTAAGTAGAAACAATACATTATCCGAAAAGGAGTGTCCATTCCTGTATCATGAAATTAAATAATTTTATTTAATTTATTTTGTTTTTTCATAAAAAATCAGATATATACGATTTTTAAGACAGACTTTTAGTCATTTCGGAGTTTATGACATGGAGCATAAAACTCGAAAATAAATTGGCACATTTCAATTTTTCATACAGTGTGTGTGAATGTAAGTAGGGGTGTCTTTTTGTGGGTGTTACACACTGTGTGTTGCATGTGAACTATTAGCAAGGTCGTGAGAGAGAATAAAAGCTTGCCACGCCTACGGGCACTTCAAAGGCTTTGATTTGCCGCCCTGTTTGTTGTTGCTGGTCGCGTTCTCTTTTCTTGGAAAATTGAATCCTTTCGCTTTTCTTTTAAATGGGAAGCGGCCGCGACTCCGACTTGAGATTAAAAACTGCGCAAGCTTTCCCTTTTCCCGTTTCTTTGTCTGTGTGTTTTTTATCTTTCCAAAACTCTTTTTGCACACATGTGGGCGAGGGGGTGGAAAATCAGGGGAGGCTGTGAAAACTTAATCGGATTTGGCGTGCGCTTTCCGCCAAAGAAAAGGAAAATTTTAAAATTCAACCGGCATAAATCAAACACTGGGACGGCAATTTTCGTGAGCTGCCTGGGAAAAAGGATAAATGGGGGCAGCCATCAATGGGGTGAAAACCCGGCCAATCTGAGCCGGCTGCCATACAAAATATTTACGCCTCGCCAAACTTTTTTCCCAAACTCATATTTAAACTTTTCGCCTGTGGATGTGTGTGCAGCGGTGCCGAGGGGGCGGGGTCCGCTAATGTCCTCGTCCAAGTCAGTCATAAGTGTGTGTATTTGTATTTGTTTACTTTGGAAATCTAATTTTGGCTTAAATTGATTTTTTACTTGGGTATTTTTCTCTTCCTTTTCCACTTGGCAAAACCAGTACATAACAGGAAAAGTTTAGGTTTTAAGAAATTATCAGTATTAATTTAACATTTAAGATCCAACAATTCCAAAAAATCGTTGAGACAAATACACATGCTTTACATTTTCAATACTGAAAGCATATTTAAAATAATTTTTCACATCACCATCTTGATAAAACAATTTTATTTTATTAGACAAACAATTTTTTTGAATGTCTCAATAATATTTAAAGCACCAAACCATTTTCAAAGTCAGTTTTTTATAAGAAAACGTTACTAAATTATCCAATATGTATTTGTTTCTGTGCAGAAAAAAACCATCGTAGCATACACATAAGATAATATTATTTTTGTGGTTGTTATATAAAATTACAATACTTGGTTTTGCTTTCATCTGCGCTTCAATGAGTTCTTTGATTTATGATCATCATCGTTGCGGTCACTTAGGCAAATTAAAAGTTCCTTAGGGTTGGATTCAAAGGATATGTGCCCAATTGTGCTTTCATCTGGAGTCCGGATGTCTGCGGCTTAGCTAGAAATTGAATTTGCTAATTAATATTAAAAATTTGTAGTGATTTTGTGGTCGTCAGGATAGTAAAAACAAGAAAAACCGCTATATACGACAGCTAAAGAGAGTGCGACAGGGATGGCAAAATGTTTGCTGGTGGCTAGCGCCACCTAGCGCCACCAAGCCTATAGGAACAACTAGCACATAGCACCCCTAGAGGTTTGGTGTCGTATGAGTGAAAACAGCTGATTTGCTGCATGCGTTGTTCAATCTTGATTGAATTTGCAAAATAATGATTATACCCGTTACTCGTAGAGTAAAAGGGTATACTAGATTCGTCGGAAAGTATGTAACAGGCAGAAGGAAGCGTTTCCGACCCCATAAAGTATATATATTCTTGATCAGGATCACTAGCCGAGTCGATCTAGCCATGTCCGTCTGTCCGTCTGTCCGTCTGTCCGTCTGTCTGTCCGGATGAACGCTGAGATCTCGGAAACTATGAGAGCTAGGCTATTGAGATTTGGCGTACAGATTCCTGAGCTTCTTACGCAGCGCAAGTTTGTTTCAGTAGACTGCCACGCCCACTCTAACGCCCACAAACCGCCCAAAACTGTAACTCCAACAGTTTTGATGCTAGATAAAAAATTTTAACTGAAATGTATTGTTCTCATCAATACCTATCGATTGACCTAAAAAAAAGTTTGCCACGCCCACTTAAACGCCCACAAACCGCGAAAACCTGTGACGCCCACAATTTGCATGCTACATAAAAAACTTTAACTGAAATGTATTGGTGTCGTCAATACCTATCGATTTATCCAAAAATAAATTTGCCACGCCCACTCTAACGCCCATAACGCTTAAATCTGTCTACCGCCGGTAGGTGGCGCATTTTAATCTCGCTTTGCTGCTTGCATATCTCCATTTAGCTGAGTAACGGGTATCTGATAGTCGAGGTACTCGACTATAGCGTTCTTCCTTGTTTTTATTTAGTTTTAACTTTTTAATGAAAGGTCCGATTTGAAAAATTTTTGGCATGTAAGGCCCATAAATAAAATTAATACAACAATAGTGGATTTATTTTTAGATTTATGCAGCAAATCATTTAAGCCTTGACAGGTAGTTCGACGTTGATAATCAAAACAAAATCTTACTCACATCTTTCATAACTATTCAACAAAGTTGTAGCTATAATGGTTTTAGCGTTATTGGCGCTTGTAGGCGTTACAGTGGGCGTGGCACAAAACGTGAAACAAACTTGCGCTGCGCAGGAAGCCCAAAAATCGACATGCCAAGTTTCAACACTCTTGCACTTATAGTTTCCGAGATCTCAGAGTTCATACGGACAGACGGACATGGCTAGATCGACTCGGCTAGTGTTCCTGATCAAGAATCAATATACTTTAAGGAGTCGGAAACTCTACCTTCTACCTGTTACATACTTTCCCATCGTAAGTCTGGTATGGGAAAAAAAGGTAGGTTCGCCAGTAGCTAAAAATAGCCTAGAGCTAGATCACCGACAACAAGATCTTAAATTGTCCCACCATTGATATTTAGCATTAAAGTCTCCTTCAGCGAAGAATATATCTAGTGCTCGGTGGGAGGAATATACAATGAAGCTATTTTAAGGATACATCAAGAACATCAAGATTAGCTAGCTTTAAATCAGTTCACGTTGTGGGCTCAGTATGAGTGTGGATAATGCTGATAGCAGAATCACCTTAAACGGTGTTACCAGGGTGATTGGCAAAGTATTGGTCATAAACAGGTAGGTACACTTTTAAACCGGGGCGCATACGAATTTCAGTAATGAGTATTATGTCTATTGAGGTGTCAGTAAGTAACAGAAGACGTTCTTCGCTTTTCTTTACTAGACCTCTTGCATTTCACAATCCGATTTTTACACCCGTTACTCGAGTAGAAGGGTATACAAAATCGTCGGAAAGTGTGTAACAGGTAGAAGCAAGCGTTTCCGACCGCATATATATAAATAAATATATATATATATATTCATGATCAGGATCACTAGCCGAGTCGACCTTCCGTCTGTCCGTCCTTCCGTCTGAACGCTGAGATCTCGGAAACTAGAAGAGTTGGAATTAGCATGTAGATTCTTGGGCTTCCTGCGCAGTGCAAGATTGTTTCAGCACGCCCACAATCGCCCATAACGCTGGTACCCGTCGAGCGACCACATTTTTTTATATTTTGTAAAAAATTAAATCATATTTTGTTCTTTTTATCAATACCCATCTACATATAAAAAATTATTAAAATCGGACCGCTCATTAAAATGTTATAGTCAAACAAAAATATATAATTAGCAAACTCAATAGAGTGCCAAAGGGATGCAGGTATATTCATATAGAAAATCGGGGGCTTACAAAATTTCACTAGCGCCACCTAGGTTTCACGTTATGTGGCGTGTTAGTGAAATCTCGTAAACAGTCGAATGAATGAACGATAGGTGGCGCTTTTTTGTTAGCTGAGTAACGGGTATCTGATAGTCGATGCCGAAGACTACAGCGTTTTCTCTTGTTATTGTTGAGACTGTCATTTTCTAGAAATCAGAGCCTGGACTAGATCACGAAAAGCCTTGCTCGACTAAAACGTTTCCATGACTAATTCGAAGAGTTAATCCAGCCTAGCGTTAATATCAAAATTACCTTTTCCAAAGTGGACAAATTTCTGTTGGGGCTTTGGTTTTCTCCAGGTATATGCGCGACAGCATGCCTAGTTGTAGAGCTGGTACTACTTGGAAGGCTATT